CCAATTTTCTGAGTTTTTCATTGCAGTGTTCCAGAAAATTGCTGAATCTGCTGATTTTTAATTTTTAGCTTTTACTGAGGAAAATGTTTACCAGTTGCAAATGAAATTTATTCAATTAATAAAACTAAAATTAGGCAGATTCCATTCACCTATCTCTGATGATTTTCAGAACAATTTTTCTCATTAAACTTTATTTCATCTGAATTATATTTTTTCTTAATACACTTTATTGATATTATTCAATTTTCTTATTAAATTTCATTTTATCTGAGTTTCATTAATCTGCTGTGGACATTTATAAATTTTTATATGAAGATTCAAGCAATGTTTAATTAGTTTATATTTAATTTTATTACTTCAGTATATATGGTATTTTACTAAGTTTATCAATGCAAATACTATAAGTGTTAATTAGTAATTTTATATTTGTCTATTTAAAAATGCTTTGGTAAATAAAAGCTTTCCTTTGTTACTTGAGATTTTCTCACTATATTAAGAAAATGAAAAAACAAAATGATCTAATGAATATAAAACTAAGAATATCCAGTTAAGTGCAAATATATTTTATATCAGAATTGAATTACAAATAGTTCAGTAACCATTATAAAATGAATTAAAGTCCTTTTTTGGAGTTCCTTTAAAATTGGGTCACCATGCAGCATGAAAAACCTTCCGGTTTTTAAGATTTCCAGGTTGGCAATTATGATATGATTTTTAAAGACCTTGTGTCACATAACTAACACTCAGAGATTTCTCAAAATAGCATTCTAATACTTTCCATTACTTAATCATCACTAATAAAGCCTTCAGTAAGGGATTTCATGGATCATGAAGTTGGCCCAAAGGAAGTATGGCTGAATTGGGTTATATCGCAGGGAAAGACTTTGAGCAGTTTGATACGTTGGACTTTTTTTCATCTTTTATGCTGTTTGATCCCTAAGCAAAATGATGCCAATAGCATGCCTCACTTAAGAAACATTTTAAAATGTAGGGAATAAGTAATCTCATTGAACAAATTTTTAATGAAGCAGAAGCCTTAGCAGAGTCTCAGCTTAGAGGCAAAGAAAAAATAAGTGATGATACTTCCTAAATTCAATGTTTTCTGTAAAGAAAATTTCAAACATAACATCTTCATCATCATTTTCCAGCTATATCATCCACTCTTCTTCTTACTGAAACGGTAAAATGAAATTATTTTTTGTCTATTTGATCTGTCTGTATTTTTTTTTTTTTTTTTTTACTTTATATTTAATGATTTCCACTTTTTGGTTATGCTTATCTATATTTGGGTATGATTTGGGGTTATGAATGTATGCAAGAAAGTAGCAATTATCTGTGATGTGGGAATGAATTAATCAATTTTGCATTGATTCCTATGGGGAAAACTGTTTCAGTTTACAAGCATTTTGGTTAATGAAGGGCCTTCAAAAAGAAATTAAGCTGAACTGAGGTTTCATTGCATAAACAGTAATCACTGGGACAAAAACGCATTTCATGTATTCTCATCGGTTGGAGCTTTTTCTGTATTGCTCATTTAATTAAATCGTCACTATAATGAGTAGTCATTATGATGAGCATCAATTGTGCTAAAATTTCCAATATGCCTATCTTAGAATAGAGAGACATAGATATTCATCTTCCAAGTCAGAGAAAATGGGCAAACTATAACAGTTAACCATTTTCCATAAACATTGCCAACATTTTTGAAATTAAAGGCACACAAAATGGTTTTTTGAAAGCCAAGTGAATGAAGTTCATGCATATTTATATACCTTCATATGCTTTCATATATGGCAGCTTAGAAGAATATTACCTGGAACCTTCTCATAAATGACAAAAATCTTTGCAGACGTTTACCTTAAATGATATGTTATAAGAATTTTTTATATGCATTTCTGTTGCAGATATTTTATGTATACATAAGTCTAAGTGCCAAAAGTGGAGTAAATAAACCACTTGCCTAAAGTTAGAAATGAGAAGAGGAGGAAAATTAATGCATGATGAATTAATGATTAATGATAAAGTGAGAGCCACAGTATTATGGGATGTATGTTTTAGATTTGCCTTCGATCAAAATAATTAAGCAAGTTTCTATTTTTAATACCCGAAATGAAACGTACAAATGGCCTTCTAATAAACAACTCTATATCCTAATCATTTTGCCATAAAAGTACATATGAAGAGTGCCTTAATAATTTACAAATTTGTTATTTTAGAAATTCTTAAAGTTCAATTAGAATAATTTTGATGAATATTTAGAGAATTTTATTTAAATATTAACTATATAGTACATTTCAAGTTCAAGTCTTTTTTAATTTAATGTAAAATTATGATGACAGATACTCTAAGAGAGAAATGTAGTCAATGCACCAGCAGTCAACGGGTTGGTGATTATTTGTAATAGTCTCCATTCCTTGCACATATAGATTTTGCAAAGACAATAATGAAGATTATAAATACGAACAAAGATAGAGTTGGAATTCGGCACTGAGACTCCAATTTTGGACATTATTATTATTTTTTTTTCTTTATATTTGTTTTTTTCTGGCCAGTCCCTTTTTTTTTTTTTTTTTTTTTTTTTTTTTTATCATCGTACAGCCGGCTTGTGCCAGCTAGGAGGATCGGGGCTGTGCCCTTATAATAATAATAATAATAATAATGTAAGTCTGAACATTTAAGTAATCAGAAAAAATTCATTAAAAGAATAAAAAAGGTGATCAGAAAAAGTTGGGTAATTCCATAAAAGAAGCATAAGTCCATGTCCGATGAAGAAACTAGTATGAAAAGGAGGAAAATTTACTTACCAATTAGTTGAAATTTTTAGGAAAATGTAATCAGCTACGGATATGATTGATTTCCCACATGTGTTTTACTTTTCTAGCGATGGTTAAAAGTGAGGGGATATCTTCAAGAAAATCTAAATATGAATCGTTGTAGATTCTAAAATTAATTTTAAGCCAGTTTTATTATCTATTGAGTGAGTCGTAAAGAAGCATTCTAATTTTGTAAATTTTCCTTGTAAGGATATGGAATTTTTGTATTTAATTAATTATAATGAATATTTTATTAATTGAAAATTTTGTTTATTGGGAGTCCTATAAAAAGTTATGTTTACATAACCCTCTCATCCACACTTCAGAAGTTATTTTCATTAAATTACCCTTTTCATTAATGTAGTTTATAATTGGATTTATGTATGTGTATATATATATAGGATGTATATAGGATCACAGTTTAGTATATATGCCTGTAGTAATCATTTTCGAACAATGCAGTAAACAAGCTAAAATTGTAAGCAATCGTTTAATATAAACTCTGCTACTAGTATAAACTGTTGAACTAACTGTAGCAACGAGGATGCCCTCTGGTGAGTAGCCAGAGAATACTTCAATAAAAGCAAAGTGATGAATCTGATAAGGTTGTATCAAACTCTTGCTCTGTAATTTTCTTAAAGTTCAATGTAATGTCTGTGTGTAACTTCAAAACATGTTAATAAATTATTGTTACACTATAAAGGACTCTTTTATGACCTCATCCAAAACAGCCCCCCCCCATAATTAAATTCTGTTCCCTGTTCTTTCAAGAGATTATATAATGTTTCTCCCGGTAGTACAGTGGTGAGTATCGTCGCCTGTCACGCTGGAGACCGGGGTTCGATTTCCCGCCAGGAAGCCGTTTTGAATGGGGTCATAAAAGAGTCCTTTATACTAATGTAACAATAATTTATTAACAGGTTTAAGTTTCACATGGACATTACATTTAATTTTAAGAAAATTACAGAGCAAGAGTCTGATACAACCTATCAGGTTCATCAATGGCTTTTACCGAGGTCAACTTATACTCACTTGCTCTTACTGAAGTATTTCTCTGGGTACTCATCAGAGGGCACCTTCGTTGCTACAGTCAGTTGGATTGGTTATAACTGTTAAAGGGTTGGTTACAAAATAAATTTGCCTTCTTTCTCTTGTGTCACGAACTGAAAATTCATGTTCAGTCTGTTTCAGTACTGTCAATATAAAATAATGTAATGCTAAATATAAAGAGAACAACAATATATAATTAAATGTTTCTGTATCAGGGAATCAAACACAGAATTATATAGAATATTTTAGCAACCTTTACTTTAGCCAACGGTTGCTAGATTATTAAATAGTGTATAAATTACATAAATTGAATAAGAAGTGCATTAAATTTTAATATGCTGTGCATTTAATTTTACTTAATCCTCTCATTGAAGTTTAGATGGCTGAGAATCTTGATGTCAAAGAATTAATTAGTTGTGCAGAAATTAAAGTATGAAGATGCAAATTTTAATAAATCAGGCCTTTTTATGATGAATTTTAGACATCAGTTTTATTAACCATATGAATCAGCTAAAATCAGCTTAGTTACAAAAAAAAAAAAAAAAATCTATAGAAGATAAATTGGGACCAAGAGAAATTAAAAGGAGAGGGAGAAAAACCCAACATGCATAGCTTGTATAAATGTGAAAGTAACAAGACAACATGAATTAGAGATACCTTAGTGGTCAAGAATTTTGCGCATTGAGTTGCAACATTTTTTAAATCTTATAAGTAAGAGGAATGTTTAAAAGCTAATGCTAAAAAAAAAAATTTGACACACACTATAGTGCATTTTAAGATCAAAATATTTTATTTATGTTGTAAGAAAATTTTTCGTTTGTTTTTAATAAGTTGTTGAATAATTCATATCTGATCATGCCTATCTATTAGCATAATTTCTTTTTGTATGTTTACCTAATGATAATATTTATAATAAAGCTAGAAACTAGACAGAATATTATTTCAGCCAGACTTTAATTTCACTTAAATATGATTAAACATAGCATTATTATTATAAACATAGCATTATTATTATAAACATAGCATTATTAAAACATAGCATTATTATTTACTGTGATTAAACATAGCATTATTATTATAAATTCTCAGTTATGTATTATCGCTGTAATTGGGCTTTGTTTGTTTATTCTTATTTAGGTTAAGAAAAAAATATTGCTACAGCATCAAGTTCCTGTGATGAATGCCTGTCGTACATTTTGGGAAACTTATCCACTTTTAAAACGTGATTTATATGCAAAAGATTCTTTGGACAGGGAACACCATGAATTAATTTATCGATCTCCCTTCTTCAATTATGTATTTTATGGTCAATTTTTTAGTTATTTAGCATTTGTAGTACAACTTGGAGGAGGGCTGTATCATATGTATGCGTTTCAAAAAACTGGAGTGGCTCCAGCTACTTTTGGATCTTTTACTGTCACTTACGATATGCTATCATATTTGATGATAGGGTTTTTTAATATTCAAAACTTCTCAATATTTTATGCAGCACAGAATGTAGTTTTGAGAATATATTTTAAAGAAGACAGTAAAGAATACGTAATAGTATCTTTAGGACTTAATCCATTAACATCTCGTCTTACATACTGTAAGCCAGGTGAATTAGAATGTCTGAAAATTGAACACCTCGGAATGCTGTTTGGTAATCATAAGGTAAAAGGTCATCGTCTGTTCATGCAAACAAATCGTTTTAAATCTATGTTCCATTATAATAATCTTATAGGAATTCTGTAAATTTATGTTCAAAACATTATTTCTTTTTCTTCCTTTTTTTTTTTCGGGGGGGGGGGAAGTTGTTACTGAGCATTTTATTTTGTGATTTTATAGAAAATGTCTCAGGAATAATAAAAAATCTGAAAACTATAGCATACTGTATTTTTGTATATAAAAATTTTATATGAAAATTAAAGATTGGGAGATAAAATGCATTCTAAAAAGTGTGAGAAAACAAGGTAGCACTTTTGTAGAAGAAAATAAATTAAAATAAAAGCTTTTCTTTGTTTCGAATTAACGCCCCCCCCCCGCCCTCCCGTCTAAGAAAAGAAGAATTATTATTCTTAATGAAAATGAAATTTAGTAGTGTTTTTAGAAGAGAAAAGAATATAAATCAATTACATAGAATGCAAGATAAACATGGAAGTATTAAATTTTTTGATGGAAGTACATTTTTGCTTGAATCACCCTTTAAAATTTTCTTTTTGTAGCATTGTTGCTTCTTTGCTCATATCAAGGTTGCAAAAATACAGTTTATAGTAAATAAATGGTTCTGCTTTGTTGCTAATCTGTTTCAAAGAATATATTTCTTTTGTATTTAACCTGATATCATAGCTTTACAAATGTGAATCTTACCTGATGGAAAATATTGATGAAAATTTAACTAAGAAGTAATTATGTATATCATATATCTATGCAGTTTATATATTAAGTAAATCTTACCTGATGGAAAGAATTATGTTGAAAATTTAACTAAGATGTGATTATGTGTATCATATATGTATGTAGTTAATGTATTCAGTAAATCAAACTTTTTAATCCCTGGAACTTTCAAAATGTTTTGTTGTTAAGTCTTTAGAAAATTAAAGAATTTTTTAGTTATTCCGTTTATTTTTAAGATTTGTGTAGCAAATGAATATTTTTAAAATAGCGTTTATAAGGCTTAAAGTCTCACTATTGGAAACTGTGGTAGATAGATGGTAGATGTTAAGCAACTCATCCCTATATCTAAGCAAGAACAAAAACTTCGGAAGGGTGTAAAATAAACTTTATTTAAATTAAATAAGATGAACAGAAGGCACTCCTGGTGCTTATAAAATCCACCAATACTTACGGTAAGAAGCTTAAGGCAGTAAGTCCATATGTAAAGGTAATAATAATAATTGTCTGGTGTTCCGCTTATTCGACACTACACGGATTGGTCCCAGCTGAGAAGCTCTCATGTCAGGCAGGGGGTGGGTTGCCAGTCAAATTTCCCCAAGTGGTTAATGTACGCTAATCATGCTACCGCTCCGGGTTCCCCAATCCGAGGCAGCAGACTTAAATGTTTCTCTATTACCACTGTTACCTACTGGTAGGCGGGGGGGTTACCACTCCCGGTTCTCAAGGATCACAGTCGCAGGGACATGCATGCTTGGAGATCTGACTGGCCGACAAAAATTGCTTCTGCCGTTACTACGCGGGGTGCCTGATGCCCGCACTGGGATTGACACAGGGCGTACTCTAAGCCATCTAGACCAAGGCGTCTTATACATGGGCAAATGAAACCACCAGGCTCATGTTGTTATGCCTCCATGGCCGAGACTGCTTAGGTACAGATCCTAGCCAGCAACTCCACAGGTTTTACTGCGTTAATTCCCCAGGGGAGAGATCTAAGGCTAAATTTAAATAACGAATAACCAAAGCATATGCAGAGCAATTTATAAGAAGTTGACTCGGACTTCACCGGTTTGAATTTAACTATCGGCAAGTATAACGCAATTCTTATCTTAAATTAGCAAACCTAGTAACATGGCCTTCAAGTGGCAGAACACGCTCTTAACATTCTGTAAAACCTCCCTTTAAATGCAAGCGAAATCATTTGCATTCTGGTGGGAAAATGGAAAGAGAAGTGAGAGTAAAGATTACAAACATAAAACAACTGGTTATTCAAATTAAAGAAACCTAACATTTCGCCCCGTCAGAATTAAGTAATTGGAAGGAAGATCTTTAACGACCTTGGCAAGATCTTAAATTTTAACCCTTAACCAAGAGCCAACGTTTTACACACAAGAAAGCTTAATAACTAAGCTTACAATACATGAGGCTGGACCTCCGCAAAATAACTTCTTCATAATATGTTTTACTATAAACAGAGACACTCTGCTTTCAGTCTTCTGGAAAAAATAAGATTTTAAAAACAAATTTAACACATTTTCCTTTTCAAATTACTTTATCCGAATCTTCTTCAGTTCAGCTTTATCAGAATCTTTTATACATTTTTCAGTTATTCTATACTTAATTTTTGTTTCTGCTCTGCTCTCCAGTAAAATGTACGAGCGTGTTTCATTTGTAAGAATATTTCAACACTACCGAAGGTTTACATGTTAGAAATTTAGACCTCAAGAACACATTGAATTCAAAACTACACTTAATGTGCTAATCAAAATAGATCATTAAACTTTTTTGTTGGCTGGATAGCCTAAATTTAATTACATGCATACCGTTAGCTTTTGCTTTAACGGAATTTTATCTTACTTTGCTAGTTTACATTGAAACATCTCATTCGCACATCAAGATTTCAACTTTTACAAATATGTGCACTTTTCCTTTAACACATAGATTAACATAAAACGTTTAAGTTTGCAATACTAATCTAGCAAGCATACATCATGAAGCATTTACAATACATTTACGTTGAGAGAAATTCTATTCAGTGTACTGTACATGAGTTGCTCAAAGTTATTTTATTCGCCAATTTCGCCAAATTTTCTCAAGAGTCTTTCGGGTTAAAATCAGAATTTCTATTTTTAGACTGAATTGAAAATCATTACGAATAAATGCATATTTAAATTCAAAAGCATCAACTGATTTTCTGGTTTACTCAACAAAACTTTGCTGATGTATTTGTACGAATTCAATGCCTGTCCTCTTAATACGGCAATTACTATCGTCAACTTTTGAACTTCTGGTACCGATAAAGTAGATAATGCAAATATAAATGTTCAAGAAAAGTATTTTGCTGATCCTTTTCCATTAAAAGTCACTGCAAGTTTCATTGATACTCGCGTGGTATCCACGATGAAGCCGATTCCTCTCATGGGAAACTGTACCGATGGAGTTTGTAACCTTGAGCTGAGACAGATTAAATGCTGAACTGTCTTGCGACATCGTCCACTATTTGTTCGGGCGCTACTGGAAGGTTTAAAATCTCAGATTTTTAATTGTAAAGTTGAAAAGACAGCAAAAAGTTCTGTTAGCAAGAGTAAGTCCAAACGCAGATACAAAACCGACCACTTGTTCCATGTGTATAACGAACTGTAAAGTTTTATTGGAATCTGCTTATCATCCTCTAGCTGCGGTAAACGCTTAAATAGTGGTCAATATGCCTCGTCAACAGCAGAGGTTACCATACCAACAATAACGAAGTTCGAACGACGTCGCATCGTCGGTATGTGAGAGGGTGGACTTTCGTATCGAGCAATCGCAGCCCGCACGCAGCGCAATGCTACAACAGTGATGTGTGTTTGAAGACATGGACAGGGGAAAACCAAATAAGGGAAATCCTGGCAGTGGGGTACGCAGTAGCACAACGGCACGGGACGACAGACTCCTCATCCGCATGGCTGTGACGGATCGTACAGCGTCCCCTCGTACAATCCCTAGCACAACGGCTACAGGTGTTGTGTTGTCTAGCTCCACGGTTCGTCGCCGTCTGCTGCAGCATGAAATGTATGGAAGGGTTCCTCTACGCAGGATTCCCCTGTCGCTCCTTCACAGACACCTTCGACTTCAATGGGCACAGCAACAAAGTGCGTGGCGTGCCCTGTGACAGCAAGTTGTTTTCTCCGATGAATATCGCTACAATTTATAGTACAATGATGGAAGAGTACGCGTCAGACGTTATTGAGGGGAACCTCTGCACTCACAGTGTGTTATCTAGCGTCATACCGTACAAATGCCTAGCACCAGGGTGTGGCGGATTGGGTACAATTGTCGATCCCATCTAGTGCAGATTGCGGGCAACCTCAACAGGGATCGCTGCATAAGGAGCCAGAGGTCCTTCTCATTCTTCGACGTATTCCTGGCGCTGTATTTCAGAGGATAATTCTCGTGCACATGTTTCTCAGACTGCGCAAGCGTTCTTTAGGGCACAACCAGGTTTCTCTTCTTCGATGGCGTGCTTATTCCCCGGATATGTCGCCAACTGAGCATGTCTGGGATTTCATCGGTCGGCGACTCGCTCGTAGAGCTGGTGGGGCACACACTAAGACTGAACTGTGGTGTCAGATCGAAGCTATATGGAATGCCATTCTTCAGGATTACATTCAGACACTGTGTGATTCAGTGCCGTGACTTGTACAGGCTGTCAACGCTCCGCGGAGCGGTTACACAAAGTATTGATTTCCGATATTTGTTTTGTTTTTGTTTTATAAATTTGATCTTTTTTGGGGGGTACCACTATGAGTGATATGTGGAATAAATTTCATTCATTTCCGACAATTCTTTCATGGTGTAGCATGTTTCACAAACATTAATGTTTTAATTCTTACTAAGGGACACTGAAAATCAGTTTCAAAAGTAAAACAGGAGTAAAGCTATAAATAAAAATAGACATACTTTTTGTTAGTAATCTTTTGAGGTTTGAAAGAAAATTTATGCTCAGTGAAAGATAGTTTTGTAAAACGGGAACAATAAAATGAAAAAGTAATGGTTTTCTATTGAAAACTGCTTTTCAGTTGGGAAAAGGGAACAATACTTTGGAAAAAGGCAAGCTGTTGTGCAATCAAAAGGATATTTCACATTCACAGAATTCTAAATCTTATTATTCTTGCTACAGTTCTCAGTAGGCGGAAGAAAACAGTGTCAGCAAGTTCTAAGGCAATCGAAGATGGAAGATCGCATTTATTTTTAACTGGCATAGTATTTTCAATGTAATTTACTGCAAGCATATTAGTCCCCATACCTATGTATTCATCATTATGCATTAGATTGCCTTCAATCGAAGAAGACCAAAGAGGGGGGGGGAAATGTGGTGAGATGAGTAGGCCATTTGCCAAGGAACAGGATGGATTGGATTATTCAGTTATGGCAAAGCACACGAGGGCTATCTGCCTATCGGAAGGGATGTCTTCGTGGAGGACTTTCTAAGGGAAACTGGCTCGTATACACGTTGCACATGGGGAAAACCACAAAAACGCTCCATGCAGCCAGCCTGTTTGCGGGTTTCGAACCTCGGACCCAATTACCAGTGTTCAGCGTCTTTACCGCTCAGCCGCTGGTGGGCCGCCAAGGAACAGGAAACTCATGTGGTAGAGTGAAAACTTCTGTCATTCTTAGTTCTTTCTAGGCCTGGGGAGCCAAGGAAGTGTTTTGTGCTTGTGTGTTATTTTTACGTATGTTATTTATCATGCCTATAAAGAGGAAAAGATTAACATTGAAAAAAAAAAAGTTGATTTAATTTATGTTTCAGAAACTGAAAAGCTTAGTTTGAGATATTTAGGGCAGAAATTTGGAATAAATGAAAACCATGTAAGTCATGTGCTAAAGGATAGAAAGGAAATAAAATTACTATTTCTAATGAACATTCTACGTCTGTAAAGTTTGGAAGAACTGAAGTACGTAAAATCGATATTTAATTTTCAACTGCTTTTGTTCTGTAAGAGCAAACGGTGTTCCTATAAGTGAAGTATTACTGCTTCAAACAAATTTAATAAAAGCCATAACATTACTTTTAAGACTATTTGTGATGAAGAAAAATCAGTATATGTGCAACATTTAACAGAGCAGATAAAAAAAATTAAATGAGATTTGTAGATTTGTGAAGTAAATGAGGCTAAAAACATCTACAATGCAGATAAAACTTGATTATTTTATCGAAATTTTACGAATAAAAACGCT